GGAGTTTATTATTCACTCAGATAATACCACTAAATTGAAAGGTTTACAGCACGTATCTCCAGGAGAGTGCTCAGCAGCAATCAGATACTTGTCTGATTCCCTGCCCCCTCGGGAGCCCCTGCAGGTGCCATTGCAGCTCGGCTATGAGAGTAGATGATAAGGCTGATGGAGAATGTGGTTTAGAAACTACTTTCTGACGCTGTTTGAGGAGAACAGGACTATCGCCGGGGTGGGTGGTGGCGGGAATGGAAGATCAATGGCAAATGTGTCCTCGCCAGGCATTTCAAAACCTCAAAATACAGGTTTTTCCTTTCCAGAGAGACAAGTATGGATTCATCAAACAGAATACTTGCTCTGGTCTACTCCGGGCAAATCAGAGACACCTCCTTCCCTGATATTTCTAATCCAGGATGGGATGGGAGTTCTCGTTTTAGAAAGAAGACAAAGAGATAGAGGTAAGAGCCTAGAAGAAAGAGAGGGGGACTGATGGGAGAGAAGAGTGCTGAAGTGTCCCTCTGGTCCTGGTACCCCCAGCTCAGCATCCTGTTTGCCATGGTCACAAATATGGACAGTGTTCTCGTCTTATGGGTGAGAAGGCAGAGTGCAGAGAGGTTACACTACCTTTTCAAGTTCACATGGCTGGGTAAGTGGCAATGAAGTATGATCTGCTTAACTCAAGGCCACAATCAAAGTGAAGTCTCCGGTTGACCTCCCTATGGGGCCTTGTCGGGGCAAAGCACTTGGCTGTTCTTCCTCTTGCTCTGTACACTAGGCTTAGAACTCCAGCTCTAACATCCTTTTCTGTTGATAAATTTGGCTTCTAAATAAATAATTCTCCTGTTCATTCCTGTCTGTAGCACCCATCTCCTCCTCCGGGCTGATTCGTCTCTTCCCCTACTGACATCTTCCCACATTTTGCCTAGCTCCTCTTCTTTACCCCTCACACGATAATTCAGCACACACACCACTCACCTTCCCCCCACACACCCATATGCAAAATAAAATTAGAAACATGCCCAACTCTCAAGGTATTTAAGGAATGGAGATTTTTCAATCAGTATGGCCCAGACTGAGGCCTTTGGGTCCCCTCCATCCCAAGCCTGTGTGAGAGGCAGGCAGAGCCTGTGCAGGGGGCCAGGCAGCCCGTGACTCAAAGCTGCCCTTAAAGGAAAAAGACCTCTTGTGCTTCCTTGTGTCTGTCCTGGGCCAACAGATTCTCAGGAGCTACCACCTGGAATGCTGTTCTTCCTCTCGTGTATAAGATCCTTTTAGAACACGAAAAGGCTTCCTGGCCCCCTTTTTTATTTTTATGTATGCTGATAAAATACAGAGAAAACAGTGTCTGATGATTCAAAAATAGAGGCTAAGCCGATCGGCATATGGCCTTCGCTTCAAAGGATTGCTCGTTTTAATCAGCCAGTTGAGATGCCAATAAGCATTTATTATGTTTGCTTGTACACAGAGGAGTGGGGAAGGCCTTGGGAGCTGTGACAGCTTGGGAGACTGAGGCTAGGAAAAGCATGGATATTCTTGTGGTGTTTCATGGTCTTAGACTCCCCCTACATGCATGGATGCACACACACACACACACACACACACACACACACACACACACACACACGGATGCCATACACTAGTGTCACCACCCTCTCGCTGTCTCGTGGCACACACATGAAAACAGTATGAGAAGGAGACACACAGGGGCAGGAGAAGCTCAGGGTCCCAGTCTGTGTCTGGAAAAAGCCCTGTTGTCCTCCCCTCTCCCAAACCAAAGCCGACCCCCCGGGTCCCAGGGGATGCTGAAGTGGGCAGAGGCTGAAACCAGGAGCATCGGGCTAGAACCAGGTTCAAAACCAGGCCCCACCACTCACCTGCTGCATGACCTTGGGCATGTGACTTAGCATCACCTTCTTGGCCCTAGAATGGGGCTCAGCAAGCTTCTGGGATCGTATTGGAGGATTAATGCTGCTGTCAGGTCATGGGTTCAGCACAGTGCCTGTTACTTAGGAAAGGGCCAATCTGTAGTGCTAATGATGGATGACCTAAGACACAAACAGCCACTGTCGTTCAATCTTCTATTCTACACAAGACCCTGGAATATAGGCTCGCCCAGCAAATACTAAACGGTGGATATTGGCACCCAGGTACGTTGGCTCTCACCCCTCAGTTCACAGACCTTCTGAGATAATGCTGATTTTCATGGGTGTTGCCCTGGTAAGCAGAGCTCTCTACAGCCCACATCCCCTCACCCCCTAATACACACACAAGGTTTCCTTGGTCCTGGCCAACAGCAGGGAGGGATGGTAGACAGGAAGAGAAGAGGAGGGGAGGTCAGGGTATGGCTGGAACTACTGTATCAGGGCTGAATCCCCATCTCCCAGTTGGAACTGGGGGTTGCAGTAGGGCAGGGCGCCACAACCCGCCCTGGGGGAGCCGAGAAGGGCGGGGATGTGGGGGGGCAAGTCCTCAGTGCTGAGCCAGTGGCCAGAGCACCGCCCCCAGGAGCGGAGGGAGGGGTGGCGGAGCTGGGGGGGTGCCCAGCTGCCATCCCCGCCGCCTCCTGGCCCCCACTCTCTGGCGCCCAAGTAGAAGGGCGGCAGCTGCCCGCTCCCTCCTCCCCACACCCCCGCTACCTGCCCAGTCCCCCGAAGCGAAGCGTGAGGAGGCTGCGAGCCAGTCGGGCGAGCCCATAACTTTGCAGCCTCGGGGATAACCAAGGCCGGCGGGCGTCCAGGGCTCTTCCTGTCGCGATCCGAGCTCGGTGAGTTCGTTCCCTAGTCCTCTGCGGCGCTGCGGCCCGCTCCGGGGGGCGGCTGCCCGGGCGTCCAGGAGGCAGTGGCGGAGGAACCGGCGGGTGCCCGTGCTGCCTGGGTCCGCAGGGGCTCCGGGGCCGCCCTCAGAGGCCGGTGGGGCGGACGCCGGTGCTGAGCGGACAGCTCCCCACGCTCGGGGTCGCCAGTCACTCTCTGCGGGCCTTTGCGGGACGCAGGGTCCCCCGACTGCGCCCTGCCCACCGGGCGCCCCGCACTCCCCCAGCCCCTGTCCTTCGCCTTCCCAGAGCCGCGGCGCATCTGGAGGCTGCTCCCGCGCCCCCCTGGCGACTGGCGCCGGGAAGACACTTGCTTCCCTCGCCGGAGCCCGGTACCTAGGGCTCTATGAAGTGGGGCAGCGCCCCCGTGGCCTCCGGGGATGCATGGCTATGGGGACGCTGAGCCCCAGCGATCACAGAGTCGTGCCCTGAGCTGCGCCCCAGCTGTGCAGAGAGACTGCAGGTCCCCAGAGCGGTAAACACAGTCACCTGCAAAGAAGATTTCAAGGTGACCAATGTCTCAGCCCGGATGGACGGGACAGCTTGGACACAGGCCCTGTGGCATCCATCCATCCTGGGTGCAGCCACCTTCCCAGAACTTTTCTCGTGCCTCCTTCTGGCCGATTACTTAGACCACTGGAAAGTTCTCCTCCACACACAGAACCCATTTCCCCGTGGTATCCGAAGTCGGGCAGAGGCCCCGGCTGTAAGAGGTGAAGCTGCATTCAGCTCTGTGTAGGGGTGTCAACCCAGGAAATGCTGCCAAGCATCCATCCACGAGTCCACCCAGGACGAGCTTCTTGGCATCGAAAGGGTTTAGGCGCCTTGGGGATTGTTTGGGTTTCTCCCGCCAGGAAAGCGAAAGGCGGGTGCGAGTGGGGGATTTCAATTTCATTGCCTCAGAGGAAAACACTCTTTTGCAAAGATTTTATAGAAATAGTCAGGGCAACCAGCGGCTGGGAAATGAACTGATCAGGACCCACTGGCACAAGCAGTCTAGCTATACCTCCACCCTCCCCAGCCCCTGAACACTGTATCGATTTTTTAATTGATTTTGAAAAGAAAAAGCCAGGTGGCAGGGGGTAGGTATACACACACATACCCAGAGGCACACAGAAAACACGTAGAGTCGCAGGCAAGGGAACACACATCATGATCCACAGCACAACTACTTCCAGAGAGCCTTGGGTAACCTGTGAGGTCACAGAATATTGCTCAAGACAGGAGTTGGGGGGAGGGGTGAATCAAGATTTCCAAGAGTCGAGCGGGTCTCACCACCCCCACTGGATCGTTCTTTCTCCTAGAGAAGCCTTAGCTAGAGATCCCAAAAATGGGTTTTCACTACCGTGATACCGTAGCAGTTTTTACCCCTCAGCTCCTAAACCCCACGCCGCCCCCACATACAATCACTCCAGACTGCAAACAGGCCCTTCCCTCCTGTGCCTGACCTCCATGACTCCAAGGAAACCGGGACTTCTTATCCGAAGTAGGTCTGGCCAGAGGCAGGCCCGCTGTGGTCTCTGGGTTTCTAACCTGCTTGGTCCTAAATTAGGAAAGGGTGGTCCGAGGGGGCAGAGTTTGGGAGATTTGTGTGTACAGCCCTCCGGACCTTCGACCAAGGAGAAGAGGACCAGGATGACCCTGGACAACGCTGTAAGGCTTCCTCTCTCCTTGCGCCCCTTAGGAATGTAATCGAGGAGGAGGATGCTGGCCCTGCGGCTGCTCAACGTGGTGGCCCCCGCCTACTTCCTTTGCATTTCCCTGGTGACCTTCGTCCTGCAGCTCTTCCTCTTCCTGCCCAGCATGCGAGAGGACCCCACAGCCACCCCGCTCTTCTCGCCTGCCGTGCTTCACGGGGCGCTCTTCCTGTTCCTCTCAGCCAATGCCCTGGGCAATTACATCCTGGTCATCCAGAACTCCCCAGACGACCTGGGTACCTGCCAGGGAACCTCATCCCAGCGATCTCAGTGCCCACCACCCAGCACCCACTTCTGCCGAGTGTGCTCCCGAGTCACGCTGAGGCACGACCATCACTGTTTCTTCACTGGCAACTGCATCGGTAGCAGGAACATGCGCAACTTCATCCTGTTCTGCCTCTACACTTCACTGGCCTGTCTTTACTCCATGGTGGCCGGCGTGGCCTACATCTCAGCTGTCCTTTCCATCTCCTTCGCCCATCCCCTGGCCTTCCTCACGCTCCTGCCCACTTCAATCAGCCAGTTCTTCTCCGGTGAGTGGGCCTGGGCAGGTCTGGCAGACAAGACCTCCTAGCCCAAACCCAAGTTTTTTTCAAATAAAAGCACAGGCTATTCAGTTCAAACCGCCAGATAACCAGCCGTTTGGTATAATTACGCCCCAGTATTTCAGGAGGCACACCAAGAGAACAGATTGTAATCTATCAGAGATTCAGATTAACTGGGCATGCTCTATTTCCTCTGACATTTGACCCCCCTCATCTCTCATACTATATGTTACTCATAAAATTATGGCAACCAAGCTCTACACCTCTCAGGAGCGGCACTCTCCTTCAGAGCTCATGCTATGCTCCCCATTGACCTGGACCCCACCTCACCCCCAATCCTGTCCACATTCCTTCAGGAGCTTTTTACCGAACAACCACAGCTACACTTGACTTCAGGTTGTGCTCAGCAGGAGGCTAACTGCTCACCTCCAACCTCCCACCCACTAGGTTTGACTCCACTAGGCTCTTCTGCAATTGACAAGTGGCTCAGAGCCACTTCACAGCTTACAAGTCCACACTCCAGAGATCCAGTCTGCTGTAGGATCTGGATCTTTGGAAGGCTCTGACACCTGCTGGAGCCAGGCGCATGAGTCCTCATACTGGTGCTCACGTGGGGATGAGGACTGTAATTTGAATAGTATGTCTCAAAGAACATCCCATGACGCCCTGGGAGACTCTGCTCCTGGTGGCAAGTCCATTTTACCTGGCCTTGGCATTTGTCCCTACTTCATTTCTTTCCACTCTTTTCTTACCTTGACCTTTGATTCTGACCAATTTGATCTCTACCATTAGCAGTGTGTACACAAAGGTGTGTGTCTGGTGTTCTTAGGTCCATTTCTCAGATAAGAAACTGAGTCTTATCTGGAACTAAATGACCTGCCTAGCGTCTTACTTCCCTGGAATAGTTATCTCTGGCTTGTATCCAGGTGCTTAAACCACAATCCAGTGCTCTTCCTCAGTTCCCATAGTCCCAAACACAATGACTTGACCTTCTAGGCTCAAAGAAAGACAGCTGCTTCTACAGAGAACTTAACTGTCCTGGTGCACCTGGACTGGACTGAACTGTGCTGGACCAGACTGGACTGGGCTGGGCTAGGGCATTTGAAAAAAAAAAAAAAAAACAAACTGGCTGTACCCTAGGGGAGCTCTCATTTCAGCCCCTGTCTTATCTATAACCCAGCTCTTCCCAGACATAGAACTAGCATGCCAATTGGCAGTGGGAACACAGCAGCCCAGGGAGCACCAGCCACGGGAAATGCCTGGAGGGCTGGTGGCGAAGCTGGGCCCAGAACTTGGAGCTCTGGGGCCTTCTGGATCTTGGTGCTGGCACGAGAGGCTGCCCAAGACTGAAAATAAGCAGGATGGGGGAGGGTAGGTGGGTGGGCTGGGGGGTGGAGTGTGAGAGCAGGCAGGTGGAGTGATGAGGAGAGCCAGAGAACCTGATTACACATCTTTTCCCAAGTAGTCTCACAACCATAAAAATGGGTGGTTCCAGAAGGAGGACCTTGAAAGGGTTGGATTTAAGTCTGGGCGTGAGGCCTGGCCATATGTGCTAGGTTTGGGAAATATGGAAGAAAGGAAGCCTCTCGCTTTGATCTGATGGGAGAAAAGAGCCAGCCCATGCCCACCTCAGGGCCCAGGCATCTGTTCTGGCTTTAGAATGAGTCTCACCATCCTTCACCATGCCCACTAGAAAAAGGAATTCAAGACTTCTCATCGCCAGACCCACCTCCTCTTCCTCCTTTACTGACACTTCACATCCTTCCCTGGTCCTCTCCACTCACGTACACTTTCCTGTTCAGCTCCCTCCTTTGAGATCCCTCTTCTCCAGTTCCTGGTCCAAATGGTCCAGAGCATACCCTCTTGGCCGCTCAGAACAGGTGGACAGGAGAGTGTACCAAGGCAGTTGTTGAATAGAAATCACTCCTGAGGTCAAGACCTGCCATGAGCACCTGAGATGGCAGTGAGGGGGGGCCTTGAAAGCCCCCCACCTTTTGGGGGGGGGGGGTGTTTCTAAAAATGCAAATACCACTGAGTCCAGACCCTCGGCTAACACCAAAGGTAAAAGAGAGGTCAGCTGAGGAAGTCTGAAACAGGTTTTTTCCTTTGGTTTCATGCCACCTGTCTGAGCCCCATTCTTTTTTTTTTTTTTTTTTCTTTTTTTTTTTTTTCTTTTTTTTTTTTGGTTTTTCAAGACAGGGTTTCTCTGTGTAGTTTTTGGTGCCTTTCCTGGAACTCGCTTTGTAGACCAGGCTGGCCTCGAACTCACAGAGATCCACCTGCCTCTGCCTCCCGAGTGCTGGGATTAAAGGCATGCGCCACCACCACCCGGCTCTGAGCTCCATTCTTTTTTTTTTTTTTTTTTTTTTTTTTAAAGATTTATTTATTTATTATGTATACAGAGAAGGGCACCAGATCTCATTACAGATGGTTGTGAGCCACCATGTGGTTGCTGGGAATTGAACTCAGGACCTCTGGAAGAGCAGTCGGTGCTCTTAACCTCTGAGCCATCTCTCCAGTCCCCCTGAGCTCCATTCTTATCTAGAGAATGGAGATGACACCATCTAGCATGTGCCACAGCGTTTGGATTAGCATGAGTTAGTAGATAGCACTAGAAGGTCCGGTGGGAGAAAAAGATGGCTAGAACTTACTGAGTACCTATCTTGTGCCCCAAAGGCTGCGTCTCATCGCATCCAATCCAAATCTGGGAGACTGCTAGTCTATTTTTTTTAAAGGCTGGGGAGCCAAAGGCTCTGCCAGGTTAACTTGTTTCTGAGCCATGTCGCTTTGGATTCTGGGTTCATTTTGCTCTGCTCTGCCACCCTGCCTGTCTAGTCTTGCTTCCTTGCTGAATGGGCCTCTTTCTGAGGAGGGGGATTGCGGATGCCCAAATGGATGACAGAATATGCTGGGGGATGGTTTGGCAGGGGTGCTAGAGATGGCCGCCGGGAGGAGGGCAAGGACAGAGGAAATTAGATGATGTAATCTTTCAGGTCCCTTAAGAAAGTTCTGTGATTTTTTTGAAAGAGGAAGTATTATTACATAGTTTAGAGGCGCTGAAGCAGCCAGGCCTGGTAACTTCAAACACTTTGAAAGAAAGAAAGAAAGCAGCTCCCCAGAATAGCCTTTTGTGGCTGCTGCATGGGGCCAGCAAAAGGCAGAAAGGTCTTTGCCTCATGCCTTGATTTAGAAACCTATGGGAAATGGTTTCCATCTGCCTGGCTTGTTCCTGGGGCTGAGTTGCAAGGCAGGCCTGAGCTTGACAGCTCCGAGGCTCTCACATCCTAGCTTGAGGGCTAGCTTGCACATCAGTATTCCTCAAGCTGGAAGGGCACCATGTCCCCGGGAGTCTCTGTCCTGCACATGGCTGCCCAAGCTAATTTGTACTGACAAGGAAAAAGTGGGTCACAGGATGGTCCAGCCCCATTTGAGTCTCTTTGATGCCCCCCCAACAATGGTGGAGGGGGGTCTCTAAATGCCAGCTGGAACAAGATTTCTGTCCTCTGGGCAGCTGGACCTATCTGTCTCTAACTTTGCAAAGAAAATCCTGCTACCCAAGCTCCTAGGGTTGAGGAAAGAGGCTTCAGATGAGCAAGCCAGCAAATCGATTCATCTTGGCTGCTGAATCCATCATGGATCAGACTAACAGGTGTTGAAGCCTGCTTCTCAGGAGTCTGGAAACTGGAGCCTGGGAAGAGGTAGGCTGGGGCAAGGAGGTGCTGGGGGAAGGGAAGATGAGGGAGATGTGTGTGGGTAGACTGGGTTGTAAAGTGACATCCCTGAAGCAGGTACCCAAGCCTCACTGGAGAAGGGTGGTGGTGGGGTGGCCCCTGAGTTCTAGTCTCAACCCACTGCTCTGGCTGCTAAGCATGTCAGGGTGGTTGTAAGCATGTCAAGGTAGATGTTTACTACAGCTACCACAGCTGCAGCCCAGCCCGGACTCCAAGCCCTGGAAAGGTGGGGGAAGGCCGGAGGGTCTTATTCTCCTCCTCTGAGCCTTGATATTCAGCACTGAGTAGAAACCACAGCACTGGAAACTCACAACCCCTGTAATCCTGTTAAACCTGTGAAGCATTATCATAGCCATTTTGCAATAAGCAACCTACAACTCAGAGAGGTTAAGAAACCTGCGCAAGTCCACACAGCTGGGAGATTCAAATCCAGCATGGACTAATCCTCCCACCTCAAACTCTGAGGACACATGAGACCTCTTACTAGTGGACGTTTAAAAACAGCCACAGGGAGTGCTGGGTTTGAAGGGTGTAGAGGAGGGTGCTGTCCCGTGTTAGGGTGCTGAACTGATGGCTGGCTGGCGGGGGGGGGGGGGGGGGGGGGGGGGGGGGGGCGCCTGTTAGAGCCTTAGCCGGCTGACGTTGACTGACAGGCAGGACTGCTTTGGCCGAGTGTTCCAGTGTCTGCTTCTTTTGTTAACATTAATGACTGAATTGTTCTCTAAGTCAGCTCTGTGCGCTGCCCTTGAAGCTGAGCTTGTGACTTGGTCCCATGACCAGGTCCTGTCCTCCATCATGCTGTCAGTTTCCCAGATCCTCCCAGACAGTGCTCCCAGCCTCACCGGGAGAACTGACAGCAGTCTAGACAGCTGCCCAGGCGCCAGCTCCCCCTTTAGGGTCCTAAGTTCGCTCCTCTCTCTTCATGTGTACCCTGCCACACCCCACTTCCAATCCAGAAAGCGAAATGGGGAGCATTTCTGCCTCTAGGGAAATGTGCAGCGTCCTAGGCTGTGCCAGAAATGCTGAGGACCCTTTTCGCTGAGCCCATTTAGCTTGTTCTCCGTCCCCCTAGGCCCCCGGTTCTTGCCCCCTCCTCAGGAGCCGTCAGCAGTAAGGAAAACTTGGGGCAAGGAACTCAGCCACAGTCTCACAGGCTGCATTTTGCTACACATCGCAAACTTCCAGCTCGTGAGCCTCTCTCCCTTGCCTCGCAGCAGAAAGGGCCAGAGCGAGGAGGAGCGCCTGGGTACGTGGCCTGGGTGTAAAGCGGTCTGGTGTTTCTCTCCGCCCCCCACCCCCCACAGGAGCTGTCCTCGGTTCTGACATGTTCGTCATCCTCATGCTCTACCTCTGGTTTGCCGTCGGCCTGGCCTGCGCGGGTTTCTGCTGCCACCAGCTGCTGCTGATTCTCCGGGGGCAGACCCGCTACCAGGTTCGAAAGGGGGTGGCAGTGAGAGCCCGGGCCCTGGCGCAAGAACTTACAGGAGGTCTTCGGAAAGAGGTGGCTGCTGGGCTTGCTGGTCCCCATGTTCAATGTCGGGACCGAAAGCTCCAAGCAGCAGGACAAATAGCGGGCAAGTACGCCTGCCGTCTCTGTGTCTCAGTTCCTCCTGAACGTAAGACCACAGCACCCCTGTCTCCACCTGTGACACAGCACACCCTCCCCTAGGAAGGGCCTCATATCCACCCCCAGGTCTTCCACCCTCAGAGGATTTATAAACAGGTGCATTCTGACATGGAGGGGAACTGGCCACCTGGGTACCGCTAGGCTGCCCACGGGCCAGCCAGGTAGGTAGCTGCTAAGCTGTTAGGGTGTTTCTGCTCCACGTTGTTATCTCCTGAGAAGCCCCTCCCCCGGTCCCTGCCTGGCCCATCCACTCTCGTGTCTCAGGCCATCACCGCTTCTGCTAAAGTCCCTTCTCTTCCGTGTTGATAGTGGAGACTACATTCTGGTTGTGGGTGGGAGACTCCCCAGGCCCTGGAGGCTGGTAAATGGTACAGTTAACAAGCATGAACGACCGTCCAGTAAGCTTTACCAACCGCTAGTGAAAATGGGAAGGGGTGGGGATGCACACTCATCCGCTAGAAGGGATCTTCAGCAGTGTGTGTAGGTCGAGGGGACCACAAGCACTTACTTCAATCAATGACCTAGCATTTTCTTTAACGCTGTTCCCTTCCCAGACTGCCCCAGCTGGCCACCCCAGCCCAGCCAGCCCAAGAGTTAGCGGGATACTTCTTTTCCCTGGAATTCCCTCTGTCATTTGGGGTCTCCAGCCTCAGATTTTTGCTAGATATTGGGAAGGGAAGAAGGAAAGAGAAAGGGGAGTTACCCATAAGTAAACAAGGGAAGTGTGTTTCTATATAGCCTTATATACCATATGTAAATGTGTGTGTGTGTGTGTGCGTGTGTGTGTGTGTGTGTGGTGTGTGTGTGTGTGTGTGTGTGTGTAAGGGGGCGGAGGTGAGGAGTGTGGTTATGAGCAGAGAGAAAGAGTGAATATTGGAGGGGAAGGATGGAAGAGCAAATGGGTTGACTCTCTTGCAACCAAAGCCATCCGGGGGGTGTTTGAATACTACCTGGAGTGTTCAAACTGACCATTGGCAGTATTTTAACAGGATCTAGGCGGTTATCTGCCAGGAGTACTATGAAAGAGACTTTTGATCTAGTCCTAGATGAACTTAGAAATCCCTTTACAGTCCTGATTCTAATGTCCTCTTTGCCATTGCTGGGTCCATGGGCAAGGTCTTTAGAGACCCCTGGGGGTTACCTGCTCTCATGGGGCAGGGGGTGGGGTGAGCATGGGAAGACTCTAGAAATCAGAACACAGACTTTCTGCACCCAACCCAGCCAATCTGGAGACTTTCTGATGTTAGCAGTGGGCCGAGAGGGGCTAGCACTGGAGGACGGGGAGGTTGTAGCTGTGTTAGGGTCAGGTGGGGGCAGCTGTAGGGAGAGAAAAGCCTGAAGGTCATGCTCAGTCCTGAGGGGTTGGTGGGGGGTGACAGAATATGAGGGGTGCAATTGCCAGTCCATTGCTGCCAGTCTGACCAGCTCTAGATGGGGGGCACTGCCTTGTATTCTGAGACCCAGAGGACCAGACAGACCCATGGGCACATGAAGAAGTGGGAGGCCACATAAAAACCCCTCTCCCAACTTGGTCCCCAAGGCCAATCTAACATTCATACAGGCACTGAGGCTGAAGCCCACACCTGGCCTGAAGTATCCAGTGGGTAGCCACAGCGACCCCAACCATTGCTCCGTAAGACCCTGGATTCTTGAACAGAGGCTGGGGGCAATTTTATGCAGGCCCTCCTTTGGTGCCCTCCAGAGGGCTAATGTAGTAATGGGTTTTCTGCTCACACTTCTCCCTCCAGCATCCATTATTTTGGGGCCTCCCCTTTGTTCAGCCTCCATCCGTTCATCCTGCCTGTATTTATCAAGCACCAACAGTGGGCTGGGTCTCAGTCACTGGCAATCCAGATGCCGATCTGACAATTCCACTCTACGACGACCTTGGCAGTCCTTGAAGCCCGGCCCCCTTGGAGGGAAAATGCGTGGTAGGGTTGAAGGGAAGCCCAGGCTTCCTCGGTGGAGGAGCCATGAGAGGTGTCTTCACGGACAATTCTGGCCACCCCTTAGCAGCATGAGGAAACAACGGGTGGGAGAGGGTCTGGACAGTGCAGGACTTGGAGCTTTCTTGACCCTAGAGAGTTCAAACTTGAAAGGCAGCCCTGCTTTGTCCATGGAGCCTGACATCCCAGAAAGGAAAAGGGGAGAACTTCAGGTGTCTAGCTCCTTAAACACTGGTCGCTGAGGGGTGGCTGTGGGGAACCTGCCAGGTGTGCTACGTGAGTAGCCTTTGTGCCCATGGCCCTCTGTTGTTAATGAAGACTATCAATAAAATATGTGGTTTTCAACTGTATTTGACTTGACTGTCTGGTTGGTGGCAGGACTGCAGTAACGGCATGTCCCTGATGCTGATTTACAATGATTGAGAATACTTCCGGGGGGGTGCTGGGGCAGTGGTGGCGCACGCCTTTAATCCCAGCACTCGGGAGGCAGAGCCAGACGGATCTCTGTGAGTTCGAGGCCAGCCTGGACTACAGAGTGAGATCCAGGACAGACACCAAAACTACACAGAGAAACCCTGTGTCGGAAAGAAAAAAAAAAAAAAAAAACTTCTGGGGACTGGAGAGATTGCTCAGTGGTTAAGAGCACTGGTTTCTCTTCCAGAAGACCCGAGTTCAATTCCCATCACACATGGCAGCTCACAACTGTCTGTAATTCCAGTTCCAAGGGATCTGTTTGACACCTTCACACCAATGAACATAAAATAATTTTAAAAAAAAAAGAAAAGAATACTTCTGTTCCAGTGAGTAAGAAACTATAGCAAGATTTCCTGAGTGATGCACTTCTGGTACCCCTGTTCCTCCCTAGAGACCCCAGATTCACTGAACAATCTGGCACTAATCCAGGACTCTGCTTCAACCCCCTCCCACACTCTACACATACCTATGTCTGTTGTGACTGGTCAGGGCCATGCAGTGTGGTGGTAGTATGACTCTCAGCCTTGGTGGGGTAGTAGGTATATGGCCCTGGGGTCTGTGAACCACAGAGACCATGAATGAAAGATCTCATCTAAGAACTTTCCTCTCCCTCCTCCTCCTTGGTACAGAGGGGTGGGCAGGGAAGAGGATGGAAGGCCATCTGCTTCTTCATCCCAGCTAGCAGGCTAACTCGAGGACAAGCCAGGGCCTTCTGATCCCTCAGGTTGCCAGCATTGGGGGCAATCAGGAGGGGTACAAGCCTCTGAAGCATCCTAAAGACACACAGGACAAATGGGCAAATGCTGACTCTGTGTCACCCGTCAAAGCCCAGACCAACACAATAGCCAGCAGGCCAAACCCTGATAGACCAGGCAGCCCACTGTCAGCATGTTCTAGAGGTCATGGCCTGTCCATCCCATAGGCCAACACCACACCTGCCCTTTTCAGCCCAGTACCCTTGATGCCTAGCAGGGATGGGGTACACCGTCACTGCTCAACAATTACTACTGAGTGCTTGCTTCCCATGTGACCAGTGCCACGCCCTGCACACTGCAGGTTCAGGAAACTCTGATGCTGTGGCGGTTTTTGCTCTGGGAGAGGCTCCTGGGAGTGCTCAGAGAGGCAGAGAATGTATGTCCAGCTGTCAGGATGGGGTAAGGTTGTGCAGGCCGGGGTAGATGAGTGAGATGTGTTCAGCTTGAGAGGGAGAAGGGCTTTCTAGGTAGGAGCGTGCCTGGAGCCTTAGAGCGCAGGGGCCATCACAGTGACAGGGAATGAAATCCGAGGGCTGTTATGTGAGCAGGAAAGACTTGGAACGCCAGGCTGGGGTATCTGTAGTGGGTCTGAGGGACACTAGGGAGCCACTAACATTCTGGAATGGCAGCATCAGCGCCGGACCGCAAAGAAGAAAAAAGTAGCGTCTTGGAGGATAGAGGAAGAGGGAGAAATGAAGTGATCTGACAGTCTGGGTGGAGGCAGGGCTGTGGGCTAGGAGAGAGGAGCCGTGGGTCAGACACTTCTCAGACACATGGTGTGACTAGAGGGGGCCACGGAGAGGGGACCCAAGACAGCCTGCAGCTTGAGACAGAATGAATCGGGTGACTTCAAGGGACACTGGGATAGGGAGGTCAGGATGCTGAGGATCTGGGCCACAGAAGCACTTACCTTTATCATTGGCCTAGCAGCAATTGATAATGTCATAGTCAACTGCCACCCTGCCACCTTGGTGGAAGAAGGAATTTGGAGGGACATCTGCAGGCCACCCTTTGCAGCAGGGCTCTTGACCCTCAAAGCTGAGTCAAGGCTATGTTCCTATTTCAGAAAGAAGCCATGCGGTACTCTGGCTTTACATTCAGTACTAGAGGGAGACAGCTGCCCCTTCCCCCCCCCCCCCCACCCAGTGCCTAAGTATCCCCCTCCAGACAGTGTGTGCACTCTGTTTTGACCCATGTCCTGGTCAAGCAAGGTATAAGCACCCCCACTCTTAGGTCCAGGAGCACACAAAACTCTGGGAAGAGAGCAAACTCATGGAATTTTGAACTTATGGACCCTCTGCTTCAACAAGCTGGCCCTTAGCTCCCAGGAACTAAACTCCTTCCCTAGGGCCTCCATGGTCCTCCACATTGTCTATGCGTTTGCCTGCTCCAAAGGGCCCTGGCTTCTGTTTGTGTCCTGTGTCCTCCAAGTGGTCCTGCTCTGCCTCCAGGTATCCTCACAGGGATACTTTCAATGTGCCCCCCCCCCCCGTGTGGGTAAAAAGGAGGAATAGGGCTGGAGAGCCAGCTCAGTGATTAAGAGCACATACTGCTCTTCCAGAGGACCTGAGTTCAAGTCCCAGCACCCACGTCAGGTGGCTCACAGTCACCTGTAACTCCAGCTCCATGAGATCCCAATACCTCTGGCCTCTTCTAGAACCTGCATTCATGTGCACAGATACACCGAGACACACTGACACGCATATACCAACACAAAAAATAATTTTAAAAAAATTTAGGGGCTGGAGAGATGGCTCAGAGGTTAAGAGCACTGGCTGTTCTTCCAGAGGTCCTAAGTTCAATTCCCAGCAACCACATGGTGGCTCACAACCATCCGTAATGAGATCTGGTGCCCTCTTCTGGCCTGCAGGGATACACGCAGGCAGAACACTGTCTATATAATAAATACATCTTTAAAAAAAAAAAACTAAAGAAAGAAGGATGTGCAGGGACCAAGGACCCAACTGCTTTAGTGAGGAGGCAGAGCCTAGATCTCCCCTGTGGCCCCGTGAGCCTGCTGTGTGGGGCAGGAGGTGCCTGGAAACAGCTCCTCGGCTCCCACCCTCCACGCTCTCGTTGTACACCCTGCCTGCCGGCCCAGCTACTCCACTCATTCTTCAAGCATTCACTGACTCTGACTCTGTGCCAGGCACGATGCCAAGAACCAGAAAAGCAAAGATGAATGAGACCTCAGGGAGCTCACGGGGAAGAAGACAAATTGCAGACGGTTGTGATTCAGCAGGAGGAACCGGCTGACGGGAGGACAAGGCGCTACGGGAGCCTGCAGGACTGCACAGCACCCCCTCAAACGTGGGTGGGCTGGAAGGCTTCCCAGAGGAGGCAACATGGAGATCAGGCAGGATGCATAGGAGCACACCAGGCAGGCAAGCAGGGCTTGGGGGTGGGGATGGAGGAAGGGTGTGCATCGACAGAGAGGCTTCTGTGATTTCTGGGAATT